CAGTTCTGGCACAGCGGCAGCAGGTGCCTCTCCTTTCCTGATCAGGACGCATGCTGGGCCTTGAAGGTTGACATTCAATCTGCCGGAGGTGCTTAACGCAGGAAGCTGAGTCCAGGTGGGTGTGATTCCCAGCCAACCCTTCTTTCTCCCTTTTGTTTTGGTTTGTATCTCCTTCTCCCATATAATTCCATAAAGTCAAGAAAGGGGGAGACCCCATCTCTCACTAAGGCCACAGTGCAGAACAACAGCCAGCCATTAGGGGGCAAGATCAAGCCATGCCACATTACCCCCAAAATAAATCCCACCATCGGTACCTGCAAAGCCACACAGAGGGAGCTTTCTAGCCCAGTTCAGGTGAGGCACCATAATATTTCAGAACTTGATTTTACACCCATAGATGTTAGTCATTTAAAATGTCCTGAAATTAGGACTAATCGCTCCTACTTTGTTATTCAGTTATGAACCAATCCACGCCCCCAACCAATAACACACACACACACACACACACACACACACACACACACACCCCCGAGAAGCCTCGGGATGAAGCGTCAGAGATTACTTCTTATCTACTGAGATTTCCCTTTCAATGGTATTTCCAGGTCCCTGTGTAACAGGAAATGCCTGAAAGAGCTCAGAAGTAGGTGTTCTCATTCATCTCCCTGGCCGGGGTGACCTTGGTGCTATTGGTCTAGTCATTTATGCTCTTGAACCTCAGTTTCATCACCAATAACTTAAGGGAATGCATGAACAAACAGGAAAGGCAAAAGGACTCACACTTTACTGCACATGCTCTAATAGTTTCTCATTTTGACAAACATACGTTAACTGAGGTAGAAAAACAAAGAGTGGAGCGGTGGCCAGTGTGACTTAGTTGATCGAATGTAACAAGTATGGTGAAGGCCCCGTCACGGAGAGGTTGACCATTCAATTCCTGGTCAGGGTACATGCCCAGGATGCGGGCCAGATCCCCAGTAGGGAGCATTCAGGAAGCAGCCAATTGATGTTCTGCGGTCCCATTGATGTTTCTCTCCCTCTCCCTCTCTAAAAATCAATTTAAAAAATCGTTTTAAAAGGAAAATAAAAAGTGGCTTGAAATGCATGGTCTCTACAACCTACCTGCTGTAATGATTTGGAAGCCATCCAGGACCTCTGAAGCTCTCCACATGAAGCTTTGACCCTAAGCTGATGGAAAACAGCCAAGACTCCAAAGCCAAACAGCACAGCACAGGGTCCCTGTTTAGGGAACACCCAGAACTGAGGCAGGAGTGAGCGCAAAGGGCATTCGTACAGGTACAAAGAGCAAGGAGAGAGTCCTCTTACTGCCAAGCAGCTGGGGGCTTTCATAGGTAATTGTCCAAGGAGCTTAGCATTTCCAGCTACTTACTTTCATACTACCATCTCTGCTACTATAAAACACGCCTCAGTATCCCCCAGAGTACTTGAATGAATGTCCAGATAAGGATCCAAAAGAAGATCCACACAGTTCTCTCTCTCATGGTGTCCTCCTCCCCGTGTTTCCCTATCTCTGTTTGTTGCAGAGGCAAATATCATGTTTAATGAGATATAATTCCCATTATCAGTCTCTCATCCCCCCTCCTAGTCCATGGCATCCAATAATCTAGTTTCATTCTCTATGAATTTTTTATTCTGGGCATTTCATATAAATGGAATCATAAAAGCAAATGTATTCTGAGTGTCCATCAGGTTAGGTACCATAGAGAGATAGAGATTAGGTGCCAAATGTGTGTGTGTGTGTGTGTGTGTGTGTGTGTATGACAAGGTCTATGTAGATAACAGGTAAGATAAACCTTCAGTCAAATAAACAGGAATACATTATATTTATTATATGTGCCATATAAATAGTATATCATGCGTGCTTTAAGCTAATGGATTTTATTTTTCCCCTCAGAAACATACATAGAAGTCATATTCATGTGGGTGACACACCAATAAGTTAGCTGTATTTGACAAAAAGCCCAGTTTTCTGCTGGACACAATTCTCTCAGTGACTGATCAGAAAATGGTAGTTCACCGTGGCGGTCATGAGGGTAAATGAGGCTCAGTGCCTGTGCTAAGACCTCCTGGCTTTCTCTCCCTCTCAGGAAAGAATACCAGAATGCAGGGCAGAGGAACAGCTTGTACTTTCTCCTTTTAGTGTATCATTCAAACACTTGCGTACTCAGTGAGGAAGGGAGCGGAAAGTATGGATAAGGCCCGGAATATGCACATTCTCGGGACTCTGACCACCCATCCTAACAGCGATGCGACCTTCAGCAATGACTTAATCGCCCAGGCTCAGTTTTCCCCGTGTGTCAAATGGAGTCACTAATAAGCCTCTGATTGATATCCTTTGAAGACTAAACTCAAGGCTTTCGGGCAGAAGATCTGCTTACTAAATGCTGGCTGTTGGCAACAACAATAATAAGTATTACTTCACTATTAATAAACCACCCGCTACTCAGAACTGATGGAGCCATTCAGCTTGTGTTGAAGGGACTGCCGGGAACAGTTGAAGCAGCTAAATTCTCCACGTCCTGGCATGTGCGTATTTAAGACAGGAATCGCCCGAACTCGGAGGAGCCGAGAATTAGGCAAATAATCAGATAACTGATTTGCTACTCTCCGAGCCTCCAGCTGCCCGAGACTCCGCCATCCACCCTATGGAGCCACTTCCGGCCGGAGAGCAGAATACAGCTGTTGAAGCGCTTCCATCATCGGCAGCCTCCCTGCCTCGCACACTGGAGATATTGGCGCTAATAATTCATCCACGCCAGGAAGGAGCAGGCAGGCTGAGGAATACGCCCGCAGAGCTGAGGAAGGAAGGATGGCTCAGCCCTTCCTCCCAGCCTAGCTTCACCGCCACCAGGGCCAGTCTCCCCTCGCCTGCTCCCCTCCGCTGTCATAACATAACCTGTGCGACGGCAGAACTTCTCACCCCTTGGCCTTCCCTCGCTTGAGTGATTACCTTTCCTTTATAGTAATTATCCCTATTATATGTGTTCACTGTCATAAAATCATTTTTCCTCAAAATAATAGGTTTAGCTAATGCTCATCAAAAATTAAGTCTTGAGCAAGGAGATGTTAAGTGTCAGCAACGTGTTATTCTTTTGGACCACAGTCATGTAAGCAGTAGGCTTCCTCTTCAGTTTCTATCTCTTCTTGGTGCTCAAACGTAGGATGGAAAAAGAGGGGAGGATTCTTACCATCATTTCATTCCTGCTTTAGTTAGGGGCTTAGGTCAAGCAGCACGCAGTGAGTGCTGCGGGAACTCTGTAAGAACCACAGGCATCTATATCTTAGCAAATGTGGAAAACCCCTCTGCTCCCCTGACACATTTTACCCGGCAACAGAGACCCCAGGGAGCTCCGGTCAGAGGGTCAGAGGAATTACAGCACGCCCAGAAAGTGTCAGGGCGGCCTGACGCAGGGATGCGAGCACCCGGAAACTCATGGCACAAAACGAAAAAGCTGATAATACAGAATTGACAGAGCCTACTCTCTACCTTTAGGGGGGGACTCCTCTATGTTTTAGAACAATTAGCCTATACTTAGTCCTAGAATAAAGTGTCCCCAAATCACGACCACTGCCAATGGCATACTACAGAGCATCTACAAGAATAAGGTAGAGGCACATATGCTGACAAATGTATCAAGGTGAGGAAGAGAGTGTGTGTGTTCATGTATTTGTTTGTTTTAAAATAACATAAAAAAAAAAGCTGGAAGGACATTTCAAAGTCTCTAAGGTATACAATTATGAGGGTAGAAAGAAAAAGGGGGAATTCTACTTTTTATTTTATATCCTTCTGAAGAGTCTGAATTTGTTATGAGTTAATGATAAGATAAAAAGAATTGTTAAACACTGAAATAATTTTTTATCAGCCTAAGTAGTCTCTTTATAAACAATTCACCTTCTTGCACAAATATGCATCAATATACATGGAAAAGATGACTAAATTAGAGGGCCTGCCTTATTCAAGCAGCATAAACTGCTCTGTGACATAAATAGAAAAAGAATCTGAATTTGGATGCCCCCCTGACCAGACCAGATCGCCCAGAAAACCTAATACAAAAAGTCTAAAAATAAAGAATCAAAATCATGCAAGAATAAAAGAATTCATTCTCTAACTTTTTCTTTGATCTTAAGAAACAGGAAGACAAGTCACAAAACAGAAAGCCATGCATCTCCTTGGGGGAATGGGGGGAGGGGGAGTCTAATATACTTATGGAGGAAATCTCTTCTTTTCATTATTTCTTTTCTTTTTTTTTCTTTTTGCAATTTAGATATTTATTTTTAAAAGGAGAAGGAAAAGGGCTGTGAGTGTGATCTCCCAACACAGGAACATGTGAAAGAAAGTAGAGGTATAGTAATGTGGACATGAAACTCAGCAAGCCTAATAACAATTAGAATATTGTAACATACTACCGATCAGATTTAAGCCACCAAAAGATGAATAAGGTTGTTTTTTTTAAACAACTGAAGTCATAATTACTTCTATAAGATAGACACACATGACTGAAACTAAAAATGACTCCCAAAGTTTAAACAACTGAATGTACAAAATACAAGATGCAGGTACAAGCCCAAATTCAAGCTTACAATGAGATTACAAATGACAACAACAATGGCATATAAAGCAAAAGAAAACGGATCAAATATAAAAGTTTTACATGTTACATTAAAACATCTTTTCAGAAAAACTGACTTCAAAAGATTCTGCATCGCTGACTTAAAATAAATTTTTTTAAGTGCAAGCATAGATTCCTCATCTGACAAATGAGAACAAATCAATCCTTGAGATCTTTGATCATTTTAACTGGAAAGTACTGCTCATACAGTTCGGCCTGCCATATATCTCTCTCCAGGCTCTTGTCTCTTATTTGTTCTCTAGGCATTTAGTTACCACATTTAACTCCTCCCAATTTAATTTATACTTTGAACTTTTAAAGCTGGCAAGTCGACTTTCATTATTTCTTGATAAAAACATCTTTTTTTCTTACCTGATCACAAATCAGTTCCCACTTTTTCTCATTGTCATACTGCCGCAGCAACCTGGCTTTGTCAGGGGGCAGGTTCATAGCATTCTGGAAAAGAGACCAAAAAAAGGGAGATATGTCACATTCCACAACAGACTACTCATGAGTAACTTATAGGTAGATCAAGGAATACTACTGTGGGTTTATTTTTTATGATTTCTTTTCAATTTCTAGCATCTCATCAAACCGAAACACCCTGAAGAAGTCATTTAAACATCACATCAGAAACATCAAATCAGTTCAATGAAAGCGGAAACCCTGAAGTCCCATGTGTGGACATCAAGGTAGCCTGCATTTAAGCAAAGGAAATGCATTATTTCTTCATTTACTAGGGCGCTCCCATTCTTCGCAACAGAAGGTCGTGAATCGTTGAGAAGGCATTGCCCAATTTATGTTTAAAGCACTGCAGCCCCCAGACACGAACAGGAGACACCAAAAGAAAATGCAATGACCAGAACCACTGACCAATAACATCAACTTTTACGCCCTTTGGCAACACCTATGAGTAAAAGAACAGCTTGGTTTTTTAATTAATTAATTAATTTCTACATAAGAGAAAGTTTCTTCAGAAAATAGAAGAAATGGGCTCAGGAAACAGTTTACAGAAGCCAAAGAGGGGTCCCTGGAGCTTAGGAGAAAGAAAGGTAAAGATAAGGTGACTGGGAGGTGGGGTGTAAGGGAGGGGAGAAGCACCCAGATTTTTGTTTTTAATGAAAGCAATGTAACTGGCTTCTGTCATCTCTCTGAGATGACAGCATATGCCACCATTATGCTGGACATACATTAACATTAGCAACCACAATTCTCAGTTAGCCATATCAGTTTATGAAGCTGAACTTGCCCTGAGAAACTGGTCATGAGCTAAATGTCCAGGCATTAATACTCATATAGCCTCCCCTGTGTCAATACGCACACCTTCTGGAATGGAGCACGTTCACCTGTTATTAATCTAATGTCCCAAATAACCAATCATACGCATTGTCAAGATACCTGGCTTGGGTTTGAGGTGATATCTTTAGCTACAGAACATGGCAGAGTGAGGGTCCCAGAAGGCATTCACATCTGTTCCCCTGCCTCCCGAAAGCTCCGAACTCTAAACAACTGAGCCAAGAAGCCAATGATTCACAGCTCTTAATTGTCATGTCTACCCCCTTGCGTTGAACACCCTAGATCAGTAGTAGGCAAACTGGGGCTGTAGAGTCACATGCGGCTCCTTGGCCCCTTGAGTGTGGCTCTTCCACAAAATACCATGTGCGGAAGTCGGTTTTCAGCCTGGGCGAGACTATTTTGAAGAAGTGGCATTAGAACATTCAAGGGGCCAAAGAGCCCCTATAATAAACAATATAGCTCTTGGCCTATTCACTATTTGAGCAAATAAGTCTTGAACTGTTTTTTACAAGACCTTTTTTTTTAAAAAAAAATTTTTACTTATCGATTTGAGAGGAGAAAGAAACACCGATCTGTTGTTCCACTTATTTATGCATTCACTGGTTGATTCCCCTATGTGTCCTGACCGAGGATTGAACCAGCAATCTTGGTGTTTCAGGACAACACTCTAACCAACTGAGCTACCCGGCCAGGCTAGGCCCTAACCTTGTAATGCTGAGGCCCCCAGCTCTCTGGAGGACTTGGCGTGTAGAGAGAACAATGCCCCCGCCACAGTGCTGTCTCATGTCATTCAGTGAAACACATTTCACACAGGCAAGCGTCAGCGAGTTATTCTCACTTCATAGAGACAAAGAATTACCCTTGGATAATTTGGTGGAGATGACACAATACTTTTCCCAACTTAAACTCAATCTAGCATCCAGATTGAAATGCCTAAGTAGGTGGTAAACATCCACCACTTACTAATTCGAATCCAGTCCATTTACATTTAATAAACTGTCTCCAGAATATTAAAATTTTTAAATTACCCCCAAAGCTGACAACATAATTAGAAGAGCTTTGGACTGCAGACTTTTTGATGGGCCTGCCAAGGCCTCTCCATAGAAATACTAAAATGGGGGAAATATTTTCATATGGCCCGGCTCCACAAAACATCTACTTGAAGTAGAATAAAAAACATATACTTGTATTTATTTATTTAAATATTATCATGTTGAAAAAGAAAAAAATTCCTGGAATAAGGAAAGGTGAATTCCGTGAACGTCCTTCTGAGGGAGTCCAATGTTACTGGCCATTTTATAAACAGCCCATCACTGATTATTTGCACCCTAAGGATGGATTACTTCCTCATAAACTGATTTTTGACCTCATGTGAGTGCCCCTGGGTATGATTTAGCATTAAATAAGTACAGTAAGTTTAAGAGATAAATTACATGAGTTTTCTCAGAGTCCTTATTAATCTCTTGTGATATAAGGGGAATAAGAAAAAGAAGGGCTGAACTACAAGATTCCCACCATGGTATGAGGTACCTTGCACACAGTCTCCTGTAATCTTCATAACAAGCCCATGGGGTAGATATAACTTTTCGCATTTGATACATGAGGAAACAGAACTGGGAGAACTGGGTTAGCTTGCTAGAGATGAGACAGCTTTACGGGAGCAAACTTAGTCTGTGAGGCTCCCAAAGACAAACACTGAAAAAGCCACCAACCTTTTTTTTTTCTTCCCCCTTTCTTTTCCAAGGCAAAAGAGCAAATAACTGACTTTCTGTTAGGACTCTACTTGACACTCGTATGGAAGCCATGTGCAAGCCTGCTACAGGAATCAGATGCAGGGCCGTCATTATTGCAAAGAGAAGGCCAAGATTCTCCTTTCTAGGTCTACTTTTACTTTAATGAAACGGTCTTTAACTCAAAAAATGTTATGAAGCACCACTGCTGTGCAGCACTGTGCTCCCTGGCACAGAGGGAGACTACACAGCTGTGGTCCCCCTGGAGTATCATGTTAAGGTGAGGAGACACAGGTAAAGCAAACGAATCTTCTTAAATTCAGATGGGTCTTGATCAAGATTATGGGAGGGCAACATTGGACTGGGTGATGTGGAAGACCTCTGAAGAAAAAGTAACAATTAGGAGGAGTCCTAAAAATGAGGAGTGAGCCAGATGAAGCATGGACGACAGCATTCGGGGCAAAGGAAACCAGGAAAAGACAGTAAGGCGGGAAACTGCTTGGAGCATCAAAGAGCTGAAAGAGAGTAGCCATAGCGAGAAAGAGAAGGAAGGGGGGAAGAGGAAGTTGGGGAGGTAAGTCAGGGCTGTGTCATGCCCAGCCACGTGGGCCAGGATAAATTCTTTTTATTTCAGCTACAGTGCAAAAGGAAGCCACTGGAGGCTTGTAAGCGTGAGATGTCATAATCAAGTTACCTCTTACAAAGATGACCGTACATGCCATGGGAAAACTGATCAGAAACAGGGGAAGTGGCCAGTTAAGGGGCCAGTTAGGAGGCCGGGGCAGTAGTTCAAATGGAGGATGATGGCTGATGGCACATCAAATGAAGAAAGGTACATGCATGTCAGAAAATTACGTGAAACTGACTGGCTACATTTAGGGGCTGAGGAAGGATATCAAGAATTGACACCTTGCTCCTCCCTTCCTTGAGCTACAAGGTCAATGGTGGTCCATTTAATGAGAACAGTGCCCAGCAAAAGAAGGTATAAATCTGGAGCAAGTGGTAAAGAATAAGATTTATAAATGGTCCAGTTTAGGTCTGGGAGAGCGGAGACATCCAAGAGAACAGTCAAGCAGATGGATACACAATTCCGGAGACTGAAAGAAAAGGGTGTATATATTCTTCTGAATGAGGAGTCTTAGGAAGTCTGGGGGCCTGATGACTAGTTACTATTGGGAGAAGTTGCTCCACATCAGTACACCAATACTAACACTGCACTTGGTAATCTTTTATCTAAAGTAACCCTTTCCCCAGGCCAAGTCTCGGAACTGTTCAGGCATTCATTGCACAGCTTAATAATTCTACAGGCACTGCTAGGAAGTGGCCCTATTTAAAATCAGATTCTCCGCAGAGGCCTGGCTAAAGCTCAGGGATGTTGTGATTGGCTGGTAATACCTGCCCTTCACCTTTGTTAGAGGGAATTCATTCCTTTAGCGCCGCACCGGCAGGACTCCGGAGACCAAGCTAAATGTTTGTGCAGAGAATTCGCAATAGTCCCAACTATTTGCTGAGGAAAATATGGGCTCTATCGCCAGATCCTTTGCTGTACAAAATTAAATTGCTCTCCTACTTGGCTGAAAAATGTAAATCAAGCACTTCCAAGTTTTCTAACAGTAACAGCTCTACCTCATCCTGGTGATACCTATGACATAGCTTTGACCACATGCCAACATTTCTGAAGGCACGGAAGAGAATCTCGTCATGAAGGTGATGCGCTCCAGGACATGCCAAGGTCCACGGAAGGCCTGCTATTTGAGTTAAGAAGTTTAATGGTTGTTAGTTACCTATGCCTAGCGTGAACACGTTCCTAGCTAAAAGAAATGAGACCGCCCAAGAGCATCCTTTCTATAAGGAATATCCCTTTACTTCCGTTCAACCTGACAGACTTTTAATAATCAACTCAAATGTCATTCAGCAGGAGAGCCTTCCTCCAGCTGCTCCAGTGAACTGTGCACGTCTCCATCACCGCACCCAGGACCCTGCTCCCCAAGATTCCATTTACCATCCAAATTCCCTACTCAGCTAGGTACACGCCGCACTCCCAGGACTCCTCTGTTCGTCCCCAATGCCTGGTAGAGAATTTGGCAAAAAAGAGGCACCGTGATGAATAAATGGAAAGCAAACGAGGTGTCCTGCTCTGCAGTCTAAAAATACCTTCATTGTTTTAGCATTTGTGTTTCAGCTATTAACAAAGCCTATTCGCTGAAGAGTGTTTGTTTCTCAGAAAACCTCCATCAGGGATATTATTACTCATTAGTAATCACCTCCCCAAGATGAATTCATGGGAGGAAATCTTCAAGTTCAATTATAGCAACACTTTCCTCAATAAAAATGGTGTTTGGGGCATTCTAACTGCCACCAATAATAAACCATGGTACCTGAACTTTGTTTTGTTTCTGTTGCCAGTACATCCAAATTGGTATCAATTAT